CTTGGTGGCACCTGGCTGCGCTGGGGTACCCGACTCGGGCTCCAGAGGGTGCGGGAAAGGCTCATCCTGAATGCAGCTAGGCGACTCCATAACTCGCGCCTAGCGAGGGCGCCGCGCCCCCAACTCTCACTGTGCAGGCGCCGCGGAAACTGCCAACTGTCGCCCCAGGCCCCCGCGCCTGCCTTGGTGCCACCGTGGGAGCCCTTGAAGTCCGCGCTTCAGCGGCCCTGCCCCATGCCACACTTTCCCGGGCGCGGCTAGGAGACTCTGGCTGCAGCGCAGTGGACTAGAGGGGAGACCGAGGCTCACGCGCGCATCCTCCTTCCTGGAGATTGCGCTTCCGGACCCCCCTGTCCTCCTGCCGCCCGTCCTCGGGATCCGGGACCAAGCCCGCCGCGGTCAGCTGCTCCCGCTTCTGCAGCCGGCTGCGGCTGCAGCGCTCGCCCAGCGCTGGCCCTGGAAGGCTGGGCGGAGAGTGGGGCTGTGGGCGGGAAGGGGTAACTCGGGGCGGAGCTGACTGCTAGCAGGGTGACCGGCTGTCACCTGGAAGGTCGGGGGCGCGGGGTTGCGGCCCGCTCAGTCCCAGAGAACTATTCCAATGGAAAATAACAAAAACCAAGGTGGCTTCTCCCGGGCGGCTCCTCCAGCCTCCGACTCTGCAGCCCAGCTCGCTGCTCCTCCTCCGGGGTTCCGTTCCTCCCTCGTTTCTTCCTTCCTTTCTTCCAGGCCGCTACTTTAAAGCCGGCTGCTGCCCTGCCTCCAACCCGGGCGGGCGGCGAGCTTTGCCTGCAGCAGCAGATCTGAGGTCTCCTCCCAGCCTCTTCCTCCTGCCTCCGCCCCTCACCTCGCCTCAAGGGGCAGCCTTACCCAGCCTGGCGCGGGCACTTTCCGGACCAGCTCGGCCTCTCTCCTCTCCTGGAGACTCTACCGCCCCCTGGAGAGGGGCCATTCTCAGTGGGGCGCTGGGATTTTTTTTTTTTTAAGCAATATTTGCTTGGTTTTATTCCGTCTAAAGTGTGAATGTTACTATATTCTGGATCCTTTTTCCTACTCTCGCCACTGCTTGTGATTTTAATCACAATTTTATGACAAAATAATTTAATTGTGATATTCACTTTAAACTTTAACACTGGTGTGAATCTCCCGTTTTCTAATGCAGCTAACTTCCTAAAATATAAGGAAGATATACGTAAACTCCTTTACATATCCCCACTTCAGAACTAATGTAAATTTCTTCCCTTTTTATGGATGAGAATACATATTTCAAAAAGCATTTCAGGGTTAATCTGATTACTCTATTTTTAAAGTAGAACGGTAGTAATATAATTAGGTTTTCCGCTTTAGCAAATCAAACTGATTTTGTTACTGCTGTTACGTGTTCGTTATTACTATTTTAAGACGAAGTCTCCTTCCTGGATACCACAGGTTCCCTTACAACACTGCATCTTCCTGCCTCGGGTTTCCAAGTCCTGGGTTACAGAAATGTATCGCCATCCTGGAAGAACTCTCACACTCTCTTCATATTCTTGTACTTCTCTTATATTTTGCATGGTGTTCTTAATTTCTCTTATATCCTGTGGTCTTTTACTTTGTTTTCATGTAATGTCAATATGGTCAAATTTGCTGCACTTCTGGGGCCACCAACTAGCTAGCCTCTTGTGAACGATCATTTAATCTCTAAGATGGAGGTGTTATTGATTGATTGATTAAGTCATTTAACTTAACACCTACAAAACCTTTGTGCAAAATAGAGCCCAAGTCTTAAAAGAGTAATGAAACATCTGAGAACGTAGACTGAGACATCCTCAGACCTTAACCAGAGCTTTCTTACACGGATCTCCTTTCCCGGAGGGACTGTGAAAGAGAAAGAAAGGAATAAAGACATGGATCAATTACAGTGGGGATTAGGGTTGTGTTTGGAGCCTTCCTTGGCCAGTTCCTACTGGCAAAATAAATTCAAGCAACAGAGAATAAATTTTCAGTGGTTGACAGAAAAATACATATTGTCTTCTAATGTATAATGAGTTAAAAGAGTTGTTTCCTGCTCTGAAGCCCTTGGGTGGGTCTTTATTTCTGTGTTTATCTTTCGTTTATAACTATTACTGCAAGGGAAGATAGTTCTCTCTGCCTTCCTCAGGTTAAGTATGGTCATGTGATGTGACTTATTTTGACAGAGACACGTAAAGAAAAGTGACTTGGGCTATATCTGAAGAAGAAGCGTTTAATTGGAAGTAGAGAAGTGGACACTTGGCCCACTCCTACTCTCCAGTGGCCGTGGTATAAACAATACACCCACATGAAAGTGCCTCATGATCAGAGACCAGAATGCTAAGCGATCACTCTGCGGACAGCTGTCCTGGAAAATCGCCAGAGACAAGACAGATTCCTCACACATACATAATAAACTTTTTTCCTCTTAAGCCATTGAGACTTTGGGTGTGTTTGTTTCCTTATTAACTTGTCCTAGGCTGTCAAATAAAATGGATTCACTAGCACACATTTATGACTTGTTTTATAATTACTAATGTACTTGACTCTGCACTCACATGAACTAGATGGTAAACTATTGGTTTCTTACAATCACTGTTTCACCTCCAGAACTCACAGAACCATTCACATATAAAAAGCACTCAATTGTATGTATAATCATCTCTTGAATTTTGAAGACAATATCCATCTACAACATAGAGGAATTATTGCACAGAATTTTTAAGTGGATGGTGTTTACTGTATGCTGAGGCGGAGCTCCACCTACCGCCTCCAGCCCTTCCACTCTCAACCCCAACTGCCCCTCCAAACGAAGACCCAAAGAACATGTATATAGACAGCATTTCCAAAGACCTGGTGGAAGGCTCTCCCTTGGGAATCATGAAGAACTCTCTACATACAAAAGTCAGAAGTGAACTTCAGATGCAGTTGAAATGTTTCTCTACTCATCCAAATAAAATTGTGCCAATACTACTAAAAAGCTATAAGGTGCACTCAGTCCTTAAATAACTTGTACATGAGAAGCAGAAGGCCTGAGTTAGTGTGATGGTGTAAGGTCAGAAAGGTTTAAGGGTTTGTTGTAGTCCTCTATCCTTGTTTCTTCCTCCCAAATACAAGGATCCCTTCCTCTCCTCCCCTACTCTCCCTCTGTCTCTTTCTGTCCTCTATCTATCTATCGATCGATCGATCAATCGATCGATCGATCTATCTATCATCTATCTATCTATCTATCTCTTACGCATACACACACACACACGAACTTTTCTTTCTTGCTTAAAAATCAAGATATGGGCTTGAAGAGACAGCACACTAAGTAAAGCACTTGCTTTGAAAGTGAAATGGAGTTCTCAGAACCCACATAAAGCCAGGCACAATAACAATGCGTCTTCCCAGAAGCTCAGAGACCAGCTAACTGACCTGACATACACAGAGGTGAACAACAAAGAGACCCTTTTTCAAACAAGGAAGAAGGCTGTCTTCTGCCCTCTGAACATGTTCTGTGGTATGCATGTACACTCACAACATACACACCAAAGAGATTAAAAATAATAAAGATAAATAAATTCATGCTCATGCCTTTATGAGGCTTTACCAGTCTCTTTCTCTCCAACTGCCTTCTCTTCCTGTCGCCCCACAACCTGAGCCTCTTTCATCCTTCCTTTAGGACTTGAACACCTTCATGATTCAAGATCCAATACAAGAGCCCTATCTCCTCAAGCCACAGCTGGTATCTGCTCCTCTTCGCTCCCTTTCCTGTGTATTCTACTTATGACAATCTTCATAATTACTGAGTGACTCTCTGTTTTCCTGCAATGAAGCACTACCATCAGGATGGTGCCATTTGGGGGTCCAGGAATGAATTCATTTTCTCTGCTGACTTGAAGAATTAAAAAAGCAAGAAAGACAGCAATCAGTCAAGTGTTAACATAAGGGAAAACACATACACAGCACAGCACACAGAGACTCCCGTGCAGTCTGGCAGCCACATCTGCCCAGGCGACTGAGATTCTTCTAAGTTTGGGGGAATGAAATAGACCCCCTTTCTCCCTCTGAATTGACTGACTTTCGCTATTGCTAGGGGATTGGGTAATGTGAACAAAGACAGGGATGTTGTTTGGTTCCGGCCAAAGGAGCCTGGCCGGAGATGCAAAGGTATGATGAACAGTTTCTACTTGGAGGGCTGAGGATGCGGAAGAAGAAGAAGGAAGGTTGGCCGTCCTAAACCTGATGGTACATTTTTTTTTTTTTTACCTTAGGCCTCCTTTCCGTGTCTTCCTACTAGCAAGCGCTATGATTCTTAGTCCCTCAAAGCCCAAATGAAGGGTTTGATTCCATTTCCCTCCCACGGCAGCACAGCAGCTGGTAATTAGTGGGTAGTTAATCAGTATTGAATGAATGAATGGGTGGAATAAGTAGCCAATTAGAACTTCAGAAACGAAAGAGTTTTACTATCACAGAGGAGATGCGCCAAGTTCTTAATTAGATCGTTTCTGATTAACAAATAGATCCACTGGATAATTACAACGTTTAGAAAGTAAAAGAATGCCATCTCCAAATGTATGGTGGAGTTCTGCCTGGGGGTGGCACAAGCCTTTGTGGCTGAATGGGGTTTTGAAATATTACCAGGGTTTCTCCTACTCCCTGTGACCTTGCCCCAGCCCAGGCCGCTGGGTCATTCTATGTTATGGCTTCAGGGAAAGGATGACACAGCAGAATGCACAGAACAAAAGAGCCCGTTCTTAGCATTTATGTTTCAAAAGCCAGAGGCTGGCAAAAGCCAAGAGGATATTTTTTTTTCCTTGCTCTAGATAGGAAAGAAAATAAAAACTCTCTAATGTAGAAGATGGAAAAGCAAAAGGCAAGAGGGTTTGAGTTCTTTGAATCTTCTGAAGGGAGATCTCTCTGCCTCTCATGGCTGGGCTGGTGAAGGGGAACTATAGACCCCTAAAGCAGAAGTCTTGCTACTTTCTCTGAGACAAGCCCAGAAATATATATTTTCCCAAGCCGGCCAAGGCTAAAACATAGGAGGGGGAGGGGCAGATAGACAAACCATTTGTCTTTCTCTACATGGCGAAGGAGCTGCAGCTTTTCTCATGCAGGGGTACATGCAAAGACAAGACATTTGGACTTGCTGTCACTAGCAGGAGGAGAAGGAGAAAGATGAAAGATTACCAGAAGTAATAACAGACTTTCCAACGCACAGACCACCCCCAATAGTATGCTTCCTCCAGCAGGAATGCATGACCTAAACCTCCTCCTATTTGTTGTTCCATTGACCAAGACTATGGCCAACATTTCTCATTTGTAACACCACCACCTGAGACCATATCATAACATAAAAAAAATGCATTTGGAACTTCCAAAGTTCCCATAGTCTTTCATAGTCTCAACATTGTTTAAAAAGTCCAGAATCTCTTCTGAAACCCAAGATGATCTCTTAATTGTAAGCCCTTGTAAAATCAATAAGAAGTTCCATGCTTCTATAATATAATGACACAGAACATACATTCTTATCCGGAAGGGAGAAATGAGGATATGGTGATAAATACTGAACCAAGACAAAGCAGATGGGAAACACCCAATCTGCTGTGTCCTGTGTATGTCAAAGAGCGTAGACTAGTCTTTCTTCCAGCTTTACTTCCTTCAACAAATATTTCTTTCTTAGGTTGATTCCACTCCCTCTATGCAGATATCCTGTGCCTGAGACGGCTCCAACATCTTGGAGCCACCTCTGCAACTTGGAATTCACCTTCACAGTTTTACAAAATGTCTCCTCTGTGGTGACATTTTGTTTCTAATCTAACAAATAAAGCTTGCCTGAAGATCAGAGTGCAGAGCTAAGTAACTAGTTAGCCATAGAGGCCAGGCAGGGGTGGCACACACCTTTAATCCCAGCACTCAGGAGAAAGAGACAGATGGGTCTCTGTGAGTTCAAGACTACCCTGGGTTACACGAAACTGAATCTGTCTAAAAGAAAAAAGAGAAACCTAGCTTATACAAAGGTGATTCCAACGTGTGGGGTCGTATGCCTTCAATTCCAGCACTCAGATGGAGACAGAAGTGATATGGCTGGGTGGAGACGCTTGGTAGTATATGCCTTTAATCCTAACACTCAGGAGGCACAGGCAGGCAGACATCTGATTTTGAAGCTAGCATAGTCTACAGAGTAAATTCCAGGACAGCCAAGACTATACAGAGAAACCCTGTGTTAAAAAACCAAAACAAAAAAAGGTGCTGCTCTCGTTGCCCCTTTCAGCATAATCCATAGCTGCAACAATATGCTTCCTAGTGTTCTTTTTCTCTTAAAACTGGACACTTTGTACTTCTTTCCCCTCCAATGGTTTTGCTGTTATAGATCTGCATCAGAGGTACCAAAAATAATCATGTGACGGATTTCATGCTTCCTTGAAATTGCCTCTACCAAAGAAATTAGTCTGTTACTTATTAATTTAGCCTTAGGCAAGTTCTTAGGACAAGGACAGAAGGCAGCCACATTATTGCCAAAATTACACAGGAATGGGCTCTGACCCAGTTGCTATTTTTATTTTCTTCTGAAACCTCTTGAACTGGGTCACCATAGTCCCCATTGTTCTCAGGAGTTCTACAATCCAAGTTCATACTAGAATGGCCTGTTAAGCTCTGCTTACAGAGTTCAACTATTGTCCTATTCCAAAGTTTCAAAGTCTTCCTCATTCCTACAAAAAACCAATATGGTCAGGTTCTTCACATCCACCCACTCTCCGTACCAGCCTCTGTCATAGTTACATGTATATTGCTGTGATAAAACACCATGACCAAGGCAACTCAGAAGGAGGAAGTTTATTTGGATTTATTGTTCTGGAGGGATAATAATCCATCAGGATAAGGAAGCATAGCAGCAGGCAGGGCAGCAGGAGCGGAGAGCTGAGAGCAGACATCTTCCAGCTCATGCATGAAACAGAGAAAACTGAAAGTGCCATGAGGCGTTTAATCTCAAAGCCTACCCACTAGTTCATACTTTCTGTAGCAAGGTTTTACCAATGAAACAGCCGCAAAAAGCACCATCAGCTCAGCACCAAGTGTTCAAGTGACCAACAATATGAGGAACATTTCTCATTCAAACCATCGTGTGTACAAATGACAGATGGGCTAGATAGAGCCTTTAAATAACTATAACAAGAGACATAAATTTCCAGACGCCGTTCTCCTTCTTTCTATGTCTTCTCCTCTGCCTGTTCCCTAATTCCACCTTCCTCCCTGTCATCAGACTCCAGGTTCTTGGGCCTTTCATTGAGAACTGAAGACCGCATAGTCTTTAGGAGTCTTCCAAGTCTGCGGTGTCAGGTTGGGGCTGCTGAGAGATCCAGCTTCACGGGCTGAGCAGCTATCCAGGTTCTCTGATTCTCAGTCTTGCAGATGACCTGGCCCCTACTGGATAAGCTGTTTTAATGAATCGCCCTTTCTGAGCTGTATTCTGTTGATTCTGTCCATCAAGAGAGTCCAGCCGAATATAAATGTTAACTGGAAACTGGTTGGTGTTATTTTTCCTTTGACCATTCAACCAGCAAAGGCATAGTTTAAGGTTAATGATGCAAATACCCGAAGTATGACTTAAATTGAAAGCTCTTAGTTTTTATTATAATGATGGGTCATGTCACAGGATCCTAGCATCTCAGGAAGTCACCCTATTCTCCTCGGAGGACATTCTGGTGCTCTAACTGGGGGACTAACACATTTAATACATTTTACTTTTTTTGTCTTCGTACCACCATGAGGAAGCTCTTTCCTTTCTTCCTTAGTTGACAAAGATTTGTTGCAGCTCTAACCTAGTCTTCACAGGAGAAAATTGAGCACTTCCCTCTTGTTCAGGAAACTATTCAAACTTGGCCTTGAATTTTGTTCCAGAAGCAGTCGCGGCAGCAAGTGGATTTAGTGCTCTGAATGGCCAATCCTAGATTGCATGGGCACCTATGAAGATGCCACCCAGGTAATTTCAAGCTCCTTATGTTATAATAAATATTCTTGAGCTGGGAAGAAAAGCAGTCATTCATGTCATTATCATAGCCAAAATCAACCCTAAAAAACAATGGAAAAAGAAAACAAAGAAATTGTAAGCCAACTTTATGTAAATATATATAATTCTATAATAGACCCCAAATAAAATGCAACATACACACACACACACACACACACACACACACACACACACACACACACTGTGGTGGGTTGAAAAAAAATGGCCCCCAAAGGGAGTGGCACTATTAGGAGCTGTGACCTTGTTGGAGGGATCGTGTCATTGTGAGGGCAGCAGGCTTTAAGGTCTCTTTTGCTCAAGTTTCCCTCAGTGTTACTTTCAGTTGACTTCTTGTTGCCTTTAAAATGTAGAACTCTCAGCTATTCCTCCAGCACCCATCTGCTGACACACCACCCCAACTACACCAATTAGAGGAAAAGATGAGTAGACAAAGTAAGAATACATGCAACACCACAAAGAGCAACATGACACCAGCAAAATCTAGAGACCCTACAACAGCAAGACTTGAACAACAAAATGCAGATGACGCAGAAGAAAATGACCTAAAAAATAACTTCAGAAGAATGTTTGAAACTCTTAAAGAGGAAATGAGAAATTCCCTCAAATGAAAGAAGAAAAGACAAACAAAAATTTGGAATATATCAACAAATCCCTTAAAGAAAACCAAGAAAAAGCAATCAAACATATAAAAGAACTATTCAAGACTTGAAAACTGAAATAGAGACAGTAAAAAAAAACACAAGCTGAGGGAATTATAAAAACAGAAATCATGAGAAAATGATCAGGAACTAGAAATGCAAATATAAACGGCAGAATATAAGAGATGGAAGAGAGACTCTCAAGTGCTGAAGATACAATAAAGGAAACAGACTCATTAGTCAAAGAAAACATTAAATCTAGCAAAAGCTTAACACAAAATATGCAGGAAATAAGGGACACCATGAAAAGACCAAACCTGAGAATAATAGGTATAAAAGAAGGAAAAGAAATTCAACTCAAAAGCACAGAAAATATATTTAACAAAATCACAGAAGGAAACTTTCCCAACCTAAAGAAAGATATGCCTATGAAGATACAAGAGGCTTACAGAAGACCAAATAGACTGGATCAAAAAAAAGTTCCCTTGCCACATAATAATCAAAACACTAAACATACAAAATAAAGAAATAATATTAAGAGCTGCAAAGAAAAAAAAAGCCAAGAAACATATAAAGGCAAACCTATTAGAATTACACCTGACTTCTCATTGGAGACAATGAAAGCCAGAAGATTGTGGTCAAGCGTTATGCAGACATTAAGAGACCACAGATGCCAGCCCAGACTACTATACCCAGCAAAACTTTCAATCACCATAGAAAAACAAAACAAAACAAAAAATATTCCATGACAAAACCAGATTTAACCAATACCTAGCCACAAACCCAGCCCTACAAAAATACTAGAAGGAAAACTCCAACCCAAGGAAGTTGGCTACATTAACAAAAACACAGACAATTGATGATCTCACAGCAGCAAATCCCAAAGAAGGGGAAAACACACAAATTAACAACAACAAAAACTAAAGTAACAGGAGATAGCAATCACTGATCATTAATATCCCTTAATATAAATGGACTCAACTCACCTATAAAAAGACACAGGCTAACAGACTGGATACAAAAACAGAATCCATCCTTCTGCTGCATACAAGAAACATATCTCAACCTCAAAGACAGACATCGCATCAGAGTAAAGGGTTGGGAAAAAATATTCCAATCAAGTGGACCAAAGAAACAAGCTGGAGTAACTGTCCTAATACCTAACAAAATTGACTTCAAACTAAAGTCAATCAAAAGAGACAAAGAAGGACATTTCGTATTAGTCACAGAAAAAACCCATCAAGAGGAAATCTCAATACTGAACATTTATGCTCCAAATACAAGGGCACCCTCATATGTAAAAGAAATACTTCTAAAGCTTAAATCATACATTAAACCCCACACACTAATAGTGGGAGACTTCAACACTCCACTCTCATCACTGGACAGGTTAGTTAGACAAAAATTTAACAGAGAAATAAGAGATGTTATGACTCAAATGGACTTAACAGACATCTATAGAATATTCCACCCAAACAGAATTTTCTTCTTCTCAGCACCTCATGGAACCTTCTCAAAAATTGATCACATACTTGGTAACAAAACAAACCTCAACAGATACAAAAACAATGGAATAACCCCATGTATCTTATAAGATCACCATGGCTTAAAACTATAATTCAACAGCAATACTAATTCTAGAAAGCCCACAAATGCATGAAAATTAAACAATGCTCACCTGAATCATCAGTGGGTCAAGGAAGAAATAAAGGGAGAAATTAAAGACTTCCTAAAATTCAATGAAAATGATCACACAACATACTCAAATTTATGGGACACAATGAAAGCAGTGTTAAAAGGAAAGTTCATAGCACTAAATGCCTACATAAAGAAGTTGAAAAAAAATCCCACACTAGGGAATTAACAGAACATTTGAAAACTTAAGAACAAAAAAAAGCAAACCCACCCAAGAGAACTAGACAGCAGGAAATAATCAAATTGAGAGCTGAAATCAATAAAATAGAAACAAAGAAAACAATACAAAGAATCAATGAGACAAGGAGTTGGTTTTTCGAGGAAAAACAACAAAAGAGACAAACCTTTAAGGATAATTTTCATTCTCAGGGGACTCCAGATGTGTTGCACATGCCTTCAACCACAGAGCTCAGGTAACTGAGACAGGATTGTAAATTAGGTCCTAGCTTGGGCTATATAACAAACTGAGGCTAGCCTGGGCTACATAGTAAGACCCCTTATATAGTAAGACTTACATAGTAAGACTCCAATTCAGCAAACAAACAAACTTTTAAAAAGGTTATTTTTAAAAACAATACAAAAATTACAAAATCAAAATACTTCTTTTACCTTCAGCTTTTAAAATCAACTTACAAGTTATATTACTTTTTTCTTTTCTTTTTCTTTCTTCTTTGTTTTAATATTTCTTTTTATTGATTCTTTGACAATTTCACATCATGCACCCCAATCCCACTCATTTCCCAGTCCTTCATATCCACCTTCCATCCTTGGAACCTACCCCTGAAAAGAAAACAATTAAAATTTAGAAAAATATGTATCTCTGACCCCTCTGGGCAATGACTTGCTACTCTATCAATAGCAGCTTTCTCTCATACCAATCACACCTGTTGAATATCCGCTTCCACCATACTTGTAACACTGCTCCTAGCTCCCAGCTTCTTACTGACCCTTGCTTGGCAGTGACAATGGAGACCTGGGAGGGCATAGGAGAGCTGACCCTGACCCTTGCTGTGGGAGCAAGAGAAGTCCAACAGAGACCGGGTCTGACCAATGCAGCTACCACCCGGGCCCAGATCCAGGACTTTGAATTAGCCCACCCCAGCACCTATCATCATGCTAATGGAGCATGTGATGGGGCCAGTCCTGCCGAACCATAGCCACAGGATCTCCACGACTGGGGCACCAGCAGGATGTCTGACAGGAGTCTGGAAGAGGGGCCAGTATTGATGAGGTAGCAGAAGCCAGAGGCCCTAAACCAGGCCGGTGACTCTTGCTGTGAACATCTGCAAGTAAAGCTGTTTGAGCAAAGGGTGTACTGTGTGACACACCACAGTTCCCAATGCCACTAGGACAAAACAAATATGTGATAGAGATGTCTTAGATTACAATTCTGAGTCATATCTTACAGAGAAATTATAACGTTCAGTCTTGTTCCCAAATTTAGAAACCTTCAAACACTTCATATTTGATAAAAGTAAATTGCTGTAGGAAATTCTACAGTCAGTAACCTTTAAGCTACCCGCCCACTTGGGTGTGGCCTCTTATACTATAAATGCTGATGTAAAACATGCAGTCGCTCTCTCTTCCAGCTGCGGGATTTGGGTCCTGTTCCCTGTTCAAGCAGAGGGCTGTGATCTGTGAGTCTATCCCTAAATAAATAACCCGTTACTATACTCAACTCTGAGCTAGTGTGGGATTTCTTTTTAGCATTCATCTTCAGGAAATTTTCAGTCTTTGTTTTGTGGCACATTTATTTAATCTGAATTAATCAATAAAAATCTTTCATGTACTTAAACAGCTCCTCTATACATAAGAGAGTCAAAGAGTCGGATGATGGGCCACAGAGGTGGCTAAGGTGGCCATCACCGACAACACATGCCTAGTAATCGACGTTCAATCCCTAGAACCCTTTGTCTAATTACTGTCCCAGTTTTTCACACATAGAGATTTAATTTTAACTGATTGCTGCTGTCCTGAGTCACAGTACTCATGACTGGCTCTAATTTTCTTTCCTGCCCAAGGATCCTTAATTCTTTTATAACCATACTGAAGTTGAGCAAAGTCTCACCTTAGATTCTCAAATCTGAATCAATAACTCAGTTATGTGGCATAGATTAGAAGGTTAAACCTCTGACAAATTATACTCATGTGTAATCCTTAAACACAAAATTATCAGGATTATAGTTGCAATTCTTCTAAATATTTACATGCTCGCTTTTAAAATCTTCTGAGACAAAAAAAAATAGTTACTATCTCACCTAAGGGCAAATGCAAATCCAATCTGGGAAACAATAGCTCTTCTAATTATTGATGGTTTGGGTCTGGCCACTACATGAGTTGTCCCTAGCAACTCTACTGGGATAAGTAAAATGCTATTTGAAGTTATTGGGGTCATGGGCTTTAGAACTTAAAAGATAGTTGACCCTCTCAAGTCACGGATTTCAAATTTAAGGGTGCAAGTGATGCAGTAATGTAAAGGACGACTGCTTTTTCATTTCCTGGCCACCCAGACCCAAATAATCACACAAAAACTATATTAATTGCAACACTGGTTGGCCAATGACTTGGGCATATTCCTAGCTAGCTCTTGCATCATTTATATTAATCAGTGTACCACCACAATTCTGTGGTCTATTGATAAGGTTGCAGCATCTGTCTCCTTTGGCAGCTACATGGTGTCTCTTTGACTCCACCTACTCTCTCTCTCTCTCTCTCTCTCTCTCTCTCTCTCTCTCTCTCTCTCTCTCTCTATATATATATATATATATATATATATATATATATATATATGCTCAGATTTCCCACCTGGCTTTACTCTGCTAAGCCATTGGCCGAAACAGCTTCTTTATTGACCAATGGGAATAAAATATATTCATAGCCTACACAGGGGAATCCCACATCACAGTAATGTACCCAGAGGCTCACAGAACCTTCTGTCTCCTATGGAGGCTTCCCATCTGACTGAATTTGTATTTCTTTTATTTTATTTTATTTTATTTTTATTTTTCCATTCAAAAATTTACACTTCCTTCCCTCCTCCCATTCCCCTCCCGCTCCCTCACTCACCCTCCTCCTCCCCACTCCCTCCTTAAGAGAGGGCAGGGAAGCCTGCCCTGTGGGAAGTCCAAGGCCAACCCCACTACATCCAGGCCTAGGAAGCTTTGCATCCAAATAGACTAGGGTCCCAAAAAAGCCAGCACATGCAGTAGAAACAGGTCCCAGTGCTATTATCGATGGCTTCTCAGTCCACCCCCATTGGCAGCCACTTTCAGAGAGTCGGTTTGATCACATGCTCCTTCAGTCCCGGTCCAGCTAGATTTGGTGAGCTCTCATAGATAAGGCATACTGTCTCAGTGGGTGGACCAACTCTTCGCAGTCCTGACTTTCTTGCTCATCTTCTCCCTCCATCTGCTCTTCAACTGGACCTTGGGAGTTCAGTCCGTTGCTCTGATGAGGGTCTCTGTCTCTATCTCCATCCATCGCAAGATGAAGATTCTATGGTGATATTCGAGATAATCATCAGTGTGATAGTGGGGCAAGGCCAGTTCAGGCACCCTCTTCTCTGCTGCCCAAGGACCTAGCTGGGGACATCCCCGTGGACACCTGGGATTCCCCTCTAGAGCCAAGTCTCTTGCCAACCCTAAAATGGCTCCCTTAATGTAAATATCTTCTTCCCTGCTCCTATATTCACCCTTCCTCCATCTCTACTCTCCCACTCCCCCAAGTTCTCCCCAGTCTTTTCCTTCTCCCTTCTTTCTCTCCCATCCCCACCCCCACGCTCCCAACTTTTGCCCGGCGATCTTGTTTGCTTCCAATTTCCAGGAGGATCTCTATATATATTTTCTTTGGGCTCACCTTGTTATTTGACTTCTCTAGGCTTGTGAACGATAGGCTCAATGTCCTTTGTTTATGGCTAGAGTCCACTTATGAGTGAGTACATACCATATTATCTCACTCAGGATAGTGTTTTCTATTTCCATCCATTTGCATTCAAAATTCAAGATGTCATTATTATTTTTTTTTATACCACTGAGTAGTACTCTAATGTGTATATTTCCCACACTTTATCCATTCTTCCATTGAGGGGCATCTAGGTTGTTTCCAGGTTCTGGCTATTACAAATAAAGCTGCTAAGAACACAGCTGAACAAATGCTTTTGTAGTATGATAGGGCATCTCTTAGGTATATTCCCAAGAGTGGTATTGCTGGATCCTGAAGTACATTGATTCCGAATTTCCTGAGAAACTGCCACACTGATTTCCAAAGTGGTTGCACAAGTTTGCATTCCCACCAGCAATGGATGAGTGTTTCCCTTACTCCACATCCTCTCCAGCATAGGCTATCATTGGTGTTTTTGATTTTAGCTATTCTGACAGGTGTAAGATGGTATCTCAAAGTTGTTTTGATTTGCATTTCCCTGATCGCTAAGAAGGTTGAGCATGACCTTAAGTGTCTTTTGGCCATTTGAACTTCTGTTGAGAATTCTCTGTTCAGTCCAGTACCCCATTTTTTAATTGGGTTAATTAGAATTTTCATGCCTAGTTTCTTGAGTTCTTTATATATTTTGGAGATCAGACCTTTGTCTGACGTGGGGTTGGTGAAGATCTTCTCCCATTCAGTAGGATGCCTTTTTGTCTTAATGACGGTGTCCTTTGCTTTACAGAAGCTGCTCAGTTTCAGGAGGTCCCATTTATTCATTGTTGCTCTTGTTGTCTGTGCTACTGGGGTTATATGTAGGAAGTGGTCTCCTGTGCTCTTGTGTTGCAGTCTACTTTCCACTTTCTCGTTTATCAGGTTCAGTGTGGTTGGATTTATATTGAGGCCTTTAATCCATTTGGGCTTGAGTTTTGTGCATGGTGATAGATATGGATCTACTTTCATTCTTCTACAGGTTGACCTCCAGTTATGCCAGCACTGCATTTGTATTTCTTTGGCTGCAAAGATGCATAAATGCCTTCCATTTCTGAACTGCATTTCTGAAGTCAGACCACCAAGCATCTAAAGAGATGGAAAGCATCCCTTCTAGCACTTTGTCTCAATTGGCTCTTGGTTTAATTTACTGGAGAAGTTTGAAAGAATCCTGGTCCCAATAAAGCATGCATATCGGACGACACAGGTCATTGCTGTACACATGCTTACCACTCCCAACAATTTCATAGCTGTGTGCCTGAACTTTTCACCTTAGGGCATCCCATGCTTTTAAGGGCCCTTTATGTCTTTTGGTTGTATGATACTTGAAGGGTGTATCAATTACATCATGAGATATTTTCAAGGAGGGTGAGCAAGTAACAAAGTAAGGTCCTGGGTCAGCATCCTTTGTCAAACAGCTTTTGATACAGGTGGTTATATAGGGCTCACAGAATTTGAAGTGTTCTGATTTTATTTTCATTATCTTTTAGATGTGCACTCCATGTTGTATGCTCCATGTGTGTCATATAACTATCATGCAACTTCAGAGTAAACAGACAAGAGGAAAATGAAGTAGGCCATTCCAAAGTATCTTGGATTATTACAAACGAATTTTAAATACATGAGGTGCATATTGTAAATAGTTATTATTGGTAGTTTGAAGGATATATACTATATTTTTTTTGTCCCGTCAGTTGCCTAGAAACTCTAGGATGCCTTTAGCAATCCACTAGTCTCTTTTGTACTCATTCCTCTCTCTTCACTGTTAATAGAAGAAAAATTACTTGTTCTCTAATATATTATTTCACACTATGAGGCTTTTACTTGGGCAAGTCAGACGATTACTACTTGGAGCAAGTGTATCCAGTGATGTAGGGTCCATCCTTCGGTTCTGAGTTCATCATTTCAGAACTAAAGACAGGAGAGCTTGGAAAATGCTAAGCAGTGATCTATAATCAAGTCTTAATATATTTAGGACATTTCTACCAGGTCCTGCAAGCTGCAACCCAGTCATACACTCTGGAGGGCAACCACAAAAGAGACTAGGGAACAGTCTCCCAGTGGGTCTCATGGAAGCAATGCAAGAGGAAATTTCTCTTATTCCTAAGGACACATTCCAGGGTTGAAATTTCTGTACAGTATGAGGTGTAACTGCTTTGCAAACAGGGCATCAAGGGCTTGAGCAGTGGCTCAGCATTAAGAGTACTTGCTGCTTTTGCAGAAGTTCTGGGTTTGATCCCAGTACCTACATGGTGGCTCACATCCATCCAGAACTTCTGTTCTAGAGAATCCGAGACCATCTTCTGGATCAGGGTGTTCTTGCTAACTTTCTAAAAATGTGAGGTATTTGTGGAGAATCAAGAAAAATGAAGCAAGCAGCCTTCAGCTCACCACACTTGGTTGGGAGGTATCTTAGTTACTTTTCTATTGCTTTGAAGAAACACCATAAACAAGGCAACAATTAAATGTTTAACAGAAGGCTTTCTAGTCAGGTGGAGGTGGTGCACACCTTTAAATCCAGCACTTGAAAGGCAGAGGCAGACGGATCTCTAAGTTCAATACCAGCCTTGTATACAGAGAATTCTAAAACAGTCAGACCTAAACAGAAAAACTGTCTCAAAAAAACAAAAAAGCAGGGGAACTTACTTAGTTTCCGAGGCTAAGTCAAGATCATCATGGCAAGAAACATGGCAGCAGGCAGGCATGCATAGGGTTGAGAGCTTATATCCTGATCTTCCAGGCATATAAAGAGTCATTTGAGTTGGGATAGGCTTTTGAAACCATCAAAGTCCACTTAGTGACACACCTCCTAATCCTCCCCAAACAATTCCACAAACCAGAGACCAAGTATTCAAATCTACGAGCCCCTAGAAACCACTCTCGTGCAGAACACCACAACACAACAGGCATGGAAGAAGGTAGAAATGTGCAGACACTACTAGGAGATGCTCTGGTTTGTGCTGCACACAGTAAATTACTGGTGATGAATTTTTGTCACGAGCCACCTTTTAGGGATGACTTCTGCTGCGGTCCTAGCTGCAGGGTTTGTATGTTTCAGGGTAGGGGTGTGAGGATTAGAAATGTTAGTTAGGAAAAACAAAGATAAGAAAGAAACACAGAGACATAGGATACTACCAGGAGGGCAACTCAGAAAATACTGAATGCTGAATTCTGAGTTCACCCATGTTTATTTTTCGTATACTTTTATACCCCAATACTAAAAGGGGGAAGAAGGCAAAAGATTGCTTAACCATGATACAAAGTGCAACCAGAACAATTACTTGCTCCAGTACTTGAGACATGGATCCATTAATTCCTGAGCAAAGTATTTGATGTTTGGGGTAGTGAACACACCCTAGACCAAGTATCCTGCAGGCAGCCACTCCCTAAGTCAAACCTCCTGTTTCAAAAGGAGTAGTTATGCTTCAGTGCTCTGACCTTCAGTCAGGATGAAGGGATCTACCTCTACGGGCCATCTTAAAGCCCAAAATACCAAGTAACCACACCCTAAGTCAAGACCTCTTGTCAGCAGCCACACCTGTTGTCAATAACTTGGGTGTCAACACAAAGTGTCAACAACTTTGAGCAAAAATAAGCTCAAACTCTCTGACCTTCAGACAAGATGGGACAGGATCACCTCTGTGTGTATCCTGACAAATTTTCTACAAATAGCAACAGCAGAAACAGTGGACTACTCCAACAAAACAGAAACTGGTTTACCTTAACAGGGTTACAAATGTCTGAATGAGATCCCATTCTTCGCACTAATTCTGTAAGTAATTCCTTTAATTATTTCAAAGGGAATGTTATAAAACTGAATTTGTAAAGCAGCTTTAACCAAGATTACTCTCCTAATTTCATATACAAGATTTTATTCATAGTTAGATCTGTATCAATAAGATATGAAAATTTTATCCTAATATACAAAACTGTGCTACATTTAAAAGTATCATTTACTCACCTGGTGAGATATAATTACATACACACACATTAGTATTCAACAGACACTTTTAGCTCACTGAAAAGGCAAAGAATTGGTCACCACTAAAATAATTTGAGTTTATCAATTTTTTTTTAAAAACTGGGGAAAAAATTGGGAAGTGAAATTTTTTAATTTTTAATTTTCTACCTATTGGTCTTTGCCTGCATAGATGTCTGTGGGAGGGTGTAGGACTCCATGGTCCTGATGTTACAGGCAGCTGTGAGCTGTCATGTGGTTACTGGGACTTGAACTTGAATCCTCTGAAAGAGCAACCAGTGCTCTTAACCTCTGAGCCACTTATCCAGCCCCAGAAGTTCACTTTTCATTGTATAAATATCTTTCATCCGTATGCAGCTCTTTTCTGGAAGGTAGAGTCCACTACTTCAGAATCAGTCCTCACACAGTTTCAATGACAGCGGCAATTTCTTTGAACTGTCTGTAGAAATTCTGGAGAAAAGGGGGGAAATATTAATTTTACTTTTTCAGTCTATTTACATAGTTCTATTAATTATATATAATTACCACACATAGCTTGCATTTTAATGTTACATCCTAAGATCATAGAGAAACAAACATACCTAGACAAGAAGGCATTGCATATCTGAGAAAAACCTAAAGAAGCCCATATCTAAACAACAAACAGGAGAACTGCCTCCCAAAGAAAACATGACACATGTACATAACTTCTTCAGGTGTCTTAGTAACCTCCCAATCCTGGCTCTGAAGGTCGACCATGGAGAGCAAATCCACAAGTGTTCAAATCCCTTACGTGTGTACACATATATATGGTTACTATCTGTCATGCTGCATGTATAGGCACATACATACAATGGAATCACTCAGCTATAAAAGAAGAAATCCTGCCATTTCCAACACAGTGAACCCAGAGGACACTATGGTAAAGACAAACCAGACACAGTAAGATAGACACTATATTATCTCACTTATATTAAGAATGTTGAACTCAGTCGGTGGTGGTGGGTGCCTTTAATCCCAGACTCTGGAGGCAGAAGCAGGTGGATCTGTGTGAGTTTGAGGCTGGCCTGGTTTACAAGAGCTAGTTTCAGGACAGGCTCTAAAGCTACAGAGAAACCCTGTCTCAAAAAACCAATAATGTTGAACTCTCAGATACAGAAAATTGAGTGCAGTTGTCAGGTGCTAGGGGTGAGGAAAAAGTGAAGATGTTGGCTAGGGGCACTAACTTAGTTATAAAAATTCTGAAGATCTAATGTATAGAATGCTGAGTATGATTAACAGTATACTGTGAGATTATGAGAGTAGATTTTAAATGTTCTCAGTGCACATACATTTATACACACCATGTGGAAATGTACATGATAATCACCTTCATGAACAGTCACTGCACAACATATATTTTTATCAAATCACATTGTATACACTGAAAACATTTTTATTTATCAATTATACCTCAGCAATGCTTCAGGGATAAGGTGATTTGTTTGCTAATTTATTTACACCACCACCCCCCACCCGCCAAAAAAAAAAAAAAAACAAAAAACAAAAAACATAGAAACACCCTGGAGATGAAGGAAGAGCCTGCACATACGACTAGAATGTCTGAGGCTAATCTGGCTTTCCCATTCAGTCCATGACCACACACTACTTCCTTTCCTCGTGCCCCATTCCTTCAGATGCCTATCAACATCATTAAGAATAAATGTATGCAGTCTTGTCTATCAAGAGCCCCTTAAAATACAGTTTATAAAGAGGAACTCGAAGGTCATACAGTGGTACATGAAAGACTTTTCCAGATGCCCAGGATAGGAAGGGAATGCCTTGGCTTAGAGGTAGCACCTACCTCACATGACCAAGTACATGGGTGATCCCACATCATCCACAAACAAAAACGGAAGGGCAGGCTGAAGAGATGGCTCCAGTCATCAGGAGAACCTGGGTTCCACTGCCAGCATTCACATGGCCATTTACAACTGTCTAAAACTCCAGTTCCATGGGATCTGATGCCCTCTTCTGGCCTCAGTTGGTAGTGCGTGTATGTGGCACACAGATACACAGGCAGACAAAATGACCATACACCCCAAATGAACAAACAACAAGAAAGGAAGCCCAGAACCAATGCCTTTTTTAATCGTCTTCAAAAATTGAAGCTTTTATTTTCATTTCATTCACTATGGTGCTTTTCTGGAGTGCCCAACTCTCCTTTGAGAGCTGCTTCAGCTACTGAAGGGCTCACAGCAAACCAAACCAAACTGTACACACCATTAAATCAGCTAACGATAGGCATCTCTCATGATATATATTCAAAAGGAAATTAGACACTGTTCACTCCCCATGGTGATTTGAAAGAAAATGGCCCCCAAAGGGAGTGGCACTATTAGGAGATGTGGCCATGTTAGAGGAAGTATGTCAAGGTTGGGGCAGGCTTTGAGGTCTATTTTACTCAAGCTTCCCTCAGTATGCCAGTAAGTAGACTTCCTCTTGCTTGCAACCCAAGATGGAGCCCATCCTGAGTACCTGTATGCCACCATGCTCCCCAAGCCTGAGAAACTGTAAGAAAGCCTCCCTCAATTAAATGTTTCCTTTATAAGAGTTGTCGTGGCCATGGTGTCTCTTCGCAGCAATTAAAACCCTAACTAGGACACTTCTGTTCTCCTCCTTGAATAGAAGGTAAATAAAATGATAATATTAAACTACTGAGTTACTTAAATCTCTAGCTAGTAAGACTCAACAATATGTATTAGCTCTGAATTGCATTTTGTAAACAGTCTACAAATCTAATGCTAGCCAAAAAAGATTACTTTTGCTTAAAATTACTATTAAGCATAAAGAAAAACAATAAGAAGTTAATCACAGAGTAAATATCCTATAGAAAAGATGAAATATTCCTAAATATATTCATCAAAAACTTTTATAGTAATTAAAAGAACAAATCAATACATCGTACAGAAAAAAACTTATCAAACTCCCAGAGAAAATAACTAATCATCTAAAGTACATAAACTTGCAAGTAAATAAATTAACATCTTCCCTTAAGACTGTATACAGCATTTGAAACCGCAGTACAACTTAAATTCAGTGAGTTCCACTACAAACCTGAAATTGTGGGATTGTCATTTCGATGGTCTTGGTGTTTACTTGACCAGAAGGATCGGCCACTTTGAGCTTCACTGCCACATACGGGTACTTGAGGGATCTGCAGCGGTCAGAGCTCACAGCCATGCCCAGTTTCCACTGAAAATCTACAAGCTTTAACACAGCAGCACAAGCATCACGTGAGAAACAATACACAATTTCTGTCTTCCGTCTTGTATTGGTTTCAGTACTGGTCACAGGGCCTGGAAACAGCTTCATTTGCGCTGGGAGGCAACAAATGGTCAAAGGGCAATGGAGGAAACAGAGGGCACAAGCAGGACCAGAAAGCAGGTGGACAAAGCAAAATGTCAAAGGAACCAAAGTATCCAGCAGATGCATAAAGATGTGGAAAGTGGCTTTATTGTAGCACGCTTAACTTCTCTATTAGGCACACCAAATGAGCATTTGTTAACCTTTCCTCATGCTTCATGCCCACAAGTCCAAAAACAGAGATGGGTGTCACGGTTGTCACCATTCCGGCTGTTCCCTCCCTACAGTGTCAAGCTCAAACCCACCATTACAATGAGTGGTGACGGCCAGGCTTTAGATTCCATCAGTCCTCGTGACAGACACATGCCAGGGGCCGTGCTGTGCAGCGGCCACCTGCTCAGTGCCTCACTGAGTCACCAGTTTTACAGGTTATTATTTCCATTTCGCAGATGACAGAACCCAGTTTCAGAGAGCTTAGGTGATGGGCTCAGGGTCACACACTTCAGAAACGAGAAGAGAAGCCCACGTCTGTTTGACTGTAAAGATTAAAAGCTTAATGACTACTGTGTTTTTAATCTAGCTCCTGATGATGCTTCCTCGGTGTTGCCATGGCATCAAATAGAACTGGATAAAGGCAGCTCTGGGCACTGACACCAAGGATTTGTCTGTCTTACAAACATGAGAGGATGCCTGGCAACCAAAACATACGTGCTGACTGGCTGATTTTCTTTTGCAGTGAAACTAATGTACGCCTTGGGATATACTTCTCTGACAGACACAGGAAGAGCGGCCAACTTTCCAGTTTCTAATTATTAGGACCAAATAAGAATTTCCAAGGTCCCTACATGCTCGACTCATTGCTTTACACAATTAAAAAAATTTTTTTTAACTTGTATTCACTTGGGCACGTGGAGGTCACAGGACAACTTGAATTGAGTTTACTCTCTGCTTCTCCATGTGTTCCAGGGATTGGACTCAAGTCATTAAGCTTGGTAGCAAATACTTTTAATTAATCCAGTGAGCCACCTTGATGGTCCTATGAGTTTCCTCATAAAGTTGCAAAACAGCTCACTAGAAGTGTTTGCTTTTATCTGTTATTTGGTTTTGTTTTGATTTAGTTTCAGATACAAGATTTTTCTGCAAAGCCCAGACTGGCTTCACAATTGTGGCGCCTTTGCTGCTTCAGCCACACAGGGGCTGGGATTAAAAAGCACCCATGCCTAGCTTGGTGGACTTACTTGCAATCTACTGTATAATTTCTTTTCAAGTTGTAAAACTTGCTAAAAATTATATTTTTCAGCTCTTTGTATCTGAACATGCAAAAAACCACACCCCCCAAAAAAACCCCAAACTGAATGATATTTATAAACTCATTATTGATTCTAATAGTCTTATCAATTATCTTGGTTTTTCTTATGTATATAATCACATGACCAATCACCAGACAATCACTATGTGGAAGAGATTACAGCACACGGGTCACTCGGATGAATCCATGTCCTAACCACTGAGGCTTTCTCCATGAGAAAGCAAGCATTAAGGATGTAATGAAATTAAGACCATGGGCTGCATGTCCCTGGATGTGAGCCCAATGTAATCAGCCCTTGTAGAAGGAAGGCAAGATGGTCAGAGTCAGAAGAGGGAGCAGCGGCTGGGACCATGTATAGTCCACAAACCAAGAAAGGAGGCAGCTAAGAACAGGAAAAAACAAGCACGAGACCCTCACTTGAAATATAGCCAAATCTTCCTTCACCTTGGTCCTGAAAGTCTGGTTTCACACTTCTGACTTGCATAAGTGTAAGGGATAGATTTATGTTGCTTTAGGGTAGAAAATTTCCATAAAACAAATAAAAACCTATAGCCCAGTATAGTTCAGTCTCAGGGCATCTTTAATAAAACACACAATGCAAAGCGAATGGACAAAATAATTCCTGAAGGTGAATAATGGCAATGATTCCAACTCAGCTAACTCTGGTTGAAGAGATGGCTCGGTGGTTAAAAGCACTTGCTGCTCTAGCATAGGACCCAGGTTCGGTTTCTGGCACCTACATGGCAGCTCACAACCATCCACATTTCCAATGCCAAAGAATCCAGGCCTCTTCTGGCCTCCAGTGACCCAAGTGTTGTACAGACACACACACACACACACACATATATATGTGTGTGTATATAGATACACACACATATATATGTGTGTGTATATAGATACACACACATATGTATATATATATAAAATCTCAAAACAACGCAGCACCACTAACTCATATAATGCATGCAAAGACAAGCAGGCTTATCGGTATCCCAGGATCCTTCAAAAGCAACAGCAAGGTAAGCCAGGGTACTAGGCAAGTAAATCCAGCTACCTGGGATGCTGGGACTAGAGAATTACATGTTCGAGGGCAGTGTGAGCTACAAGCTGAGTTTAAACCCAGTCGCAACCGTTCAGTGAAGAGCATGAAAATTTTAAAAATGAAATTAAAATTAAATGTTAACAGCCCTTCACTCTAAGCATGTTTTCACGTCATCACTTCCTTATATTTTATGTGACCTTAGGCAACTCCTGGTCCAACACTCCAGTTTTCTGACTTTCTTGGAGAAGTGTTATTATTAATTTAGAAAGGTAAATTTTTTATTCCTAATGTAATATAGGAAAAGTTAGAAAACTTATACTTCATCTTCAAAATAACTTCTTTGAAGAAATGGTTGGGTTTGGTGACACGTGACTTTAATCCTAGCACTTCAGAGGCAGAGGTGGGTGGGTCTCTGAGAGTTGAAGGCCAATCTGGTCTTACTAGAAAAGTTCCTGGCTAGTCGGGGCTACTCGGTGAGATTCTGTCTCAACACAACAAACAATAAGTTAAAAGAAAAGGACGGGAGCTATCTTTGCAAACATAGTAAATAATTGCTCACGTAACCCCGTTTTAAAACACCATATTCCTACCTTGAAATAAAAGCTGACTAATTAAGTTGGAACAAAGCTTGCACTGCACTTTCTGGGCAGAGCAGCCTAAATTACACCAGCAGTGGCTACCGTGTCGGGTCCAATGGGAAAATGCAGCCCTGGGGAAGGACCCACGAAGAGGGGCGGGGACCGCACGCCGCAGCGAGACAGCATGGGGCATCCACTCACCTGGCAGGTGACCTGGAACAGAAGCAGAAACACGATTCAGAGAAAAGCCTCTCCACGCCACTGTCCGCCCCAGCCCCTTCTCCTCCCAGGCCGAACGTACCTCGGATTTGGCGTCCAGCACCGGTTCCCTGAACTGAGACTCCTCCATGGCCAGATTGGAACTTGCAGACACTGGCCAGCACTTCCGCTTCCGGCCCAGCCCACTCTAGGGAGAGCGAGGAAAATAAATTTTCATGCAATTCTGGACTTGACTCAATCAAACATCAGTTTTAGGATATACTGAGTTGAGGAAAAGATCGGTGGGGAGAAAGGCCAAGGACGCGGAGGAAACCTCGTGAAGGACGAATAACCTTCAGGACGTCGCCTCCCCCACTGTCGGGAAAGGAGTGGGCTCGTCCGTGCGCAAGCGCAAAGTGGCTGTGCCTGGGCGCAAGCGACTCCACTCAGGGATCTCGAACGAAAGGCGTGCAGGAGATGCGGCCACACCCCCTTGCATGGATCTTGCTGTGTGACTTTAACTGCGTCTGGCAAATCCTCATCCTTAGGATTGAGTTCCCTGGCCTAGCCTGATGATGGAAGGGTGAAGCGGAATGCCTTAAAAAACAAAAACCTCTGCTGTCTTTATTCAAATTTCAACCCTATTTCAGCAGCTCCTCATCTCTCTCCAGTTTACCGCAGATGCATTCTGCATAGAATGCCCACGCCAATTTTTATTCACATACCAGCATTTTATTTAGAAAAATGAAAGTATTTTCACATTAAATTCGTACATGTGTCATCCACATTTACCAACGGTCATTGCTTTACGCATTTGCTTTAATGCAGACTGTACATAATAAGGAGGAGTATTGCATCTCTAGATACTTAAGCACTTACGTCCAAAGAACACTCTAGCCACAAGCTAATATATAATATATATATATACTTTATATATATTATTTTTATTTTTTGAAAAAGGGACTCCCCACCTGGCTCCTATATTCTAGCATTAATTACCTACTCTGCCCACAATCAGAATACTACCAAGGACTCCAGTTCTCTTTAGTTCCTAATCTAAAGCTCCACAGATAAGGCTCCCCCAAGGACCTGAGGTGGAATCTGCTTTTAAACTCATGCAAATTGTTGGAAGCACTCAGTTTCATGCAGTTTCTGTATTTTGCTGGTTTGTTTTTTTTTTGAGATTCTCTGCTTTTCGAGACTATTCACAGCCATGGTTTTGTGTACTTGCTGCCGCTCCAAAGCAAACAGTAGAACATGTCTCCCTCATGTCTGGTAACCTAACCAGCCAGTTCCTACTCTGCTAGAAATAGTTTAATTCAAGATGTAAGAGCTAGCTAGAAATACACTTAAGCTATTGGCCAAACAGTATTGTCATTAGTAGACCTTCTGTGTGATTATTTTCGGGTCTGGGTGGCCAGGAAACAAACTAGTCTCTGCCTACATACATTCTCTGTTTTAAAGAATTCAAATGATTAAATAAGACACCCTCAAATATTCTAGACTAACCCCCAGAAGCTATACGGTATAGGACTGAAATGACATTTTCTGAGTAGTACCTGAATTCAGCGCTGTTGAATAGAGATGAGACTCTTTGCAGGCTGAACATCTTTAGAGTTCTACCTATCACCAAACAGTTCGCACAGTTGAATTGGACTAGTTAATGAAAATACAGCAAACACCTAGAGCTACGGCCTGCATGCTGCTCTATGTACCTGTCTCTCTGATGTACCCATCGATGCATTTATTTTTATTTTATTTATTTATTTATTTATTGGTTTTTCAAGATAGGGTTTCTTTATGTAGCCCTGACTGTCCTGAAATTCACACTGTACGCCAGGCTAGACTTGAACTCAGAGAGATTCCTTTCCTCCGCCTCCCGAGTGCTGAGATTAAAGGAAGGTGCCACCACCTCCCAGCCCATCAATGCATTTTAGACTTGCCTTAGTTTATGACTTTGTTTGTTCTGTAATCCTGTAAAAACTTCATGAAACTGCTTCCATGTTTGAATGTGGAAGTTGGGTTAAGTTAAATCTGTGTTCCCGACTATGGTCACGCAAAAAGGCTCCAGAATAAAGTCTCTTATTCCCTTTAAGATGAGAGCAGTGTTTTTGTGTCAACATTTAAAAAAAAAATCTGTTGCTCCAGAGACCTGTTAGATCACAGACCCTCCTCTGCTTTGCCCTTTGCCCTTTGCCCTCTCACTCTCTTTATGATATCAGGCCGCAGGTCCCTGCAGGCTCTCTGCTGATGTATAGATCAGATAAAAACTTCTGTTTGGAGTTTTCTCCCGCCCCTGGCAGCTGTGTGCAGCTTAAGACAACCTTGAACAACAAGTTTACTTTTCCTGTGGCCTCCCTGCCTTGTGACTCCTGGTACAAAGGCTAGGCCAGGCTTGGTCACTTGGTCTGCAGTTTGCACTCCTTCTGCCCCCTTCCTGCCCCACCCCACTCCTGAAAACCTATAAGACGCAGACATTCTCTTTGTCCTACTGGAAATGAAGGCTCTTCCTTCAAGACCCCATCATGCCTATGGTATGAGGACATCCATGCTAGCGCTCTCCCACCTCAGGCACCTCATGGCTGACTATGATGAACCTGTAACTCCCCTGACACGGTCCTTCAGAAAGCCTCCATTCTACAAATCCATGTTCTTTCATGTTATAATAAACACATGCCAAATTGCTATTTTCAGGCCTACATCTTATAAGATAATACAATTTGCATTCGACTCTAACTTACAAAATACAGATTTTGTAACCTGCAACCTGACTCAGTTGGTCAAAAAGTTTGCCACTGAGTCTGTCTACTTGAGGGTGATCTTCAGGACCCACACAGAGAAATAAGAGACCTGACTGTCACGAGTTATCCTCTGATCTCTGCTCCCCCACACATCAAAAATTAAAAACGTAAAAATAGAAATTTTTTTGAAGTAACAAGAATTGCCAAAATTATACACACATCGTTATACCTTTTAAAAATTTATTTTAACCCAACAAATCTAAGTATGCTATGTAAACCAGAAACTACTGTAAGAGCATTTTCAATAAAACTCCTTGGTCTCGAATAAGAGGAAGTCCACAGTGCTATATGTCATGAACTCTTGATGTAATGTAGGTTAAAGGGAATGGAGGAAACCAAAAGACATTTCTTCCTATTTAAGCATTAAGTTTTAGTTTCTTTTTAAATGCCCAGTGATACAAATCTGAATCAAATTGTCTAAGCAAATTAGCAGGAACTAGTGTCTCACAGCTGTGGCCTCTGAGCTGGAAGGGAGGAACACACTGGCATGCAGAGAGAATTGGGAGAGTTGCATAGCAAAAAAAAAAGCCCATTCTCTTGGCTCTCGGGCCTGGGTTGGCCTCTTCTTTGCTCCTGGACTCCATTTCCTTTGTCTTTTCCACTTGTTTTGCGGGGAAGAGGATCTATCTATAGACATGGATGACGGGTGTCTTTGGAGTCCCAGCCACGTGACTAATATTCCGAGGGGACAGAGGAAACACAAAGGGAAAGAGGAAACGGGTCCTGAATCTCAGTTCTGAAAGAAAGACTGATTAACCTACGGAGTCACTTACCCACTCCTTGAACTAATGCTAGGTGAAATTGCGTTACTTTTTGTCTGCTCTGTGACCCATGGTGTCTATTACAAAGGGTGTATTTGTGCAATTGGTGAAGTCACTAGTGTACCAGAGATGAACGATATCACCAGCAGGAGAGATAAGGATGATTCAGCCCAAATTAGATGAAAAGATGCTAGGGAAACAAACAAACAAAAACTGCAGGTGCACTAAACATATTTCTTATATCATACAGTACTACCCTGCTCCATCAGTGTATGTGGTCAAAATCCTCCAAGATATCTACTTCCTGATCCACAACCTGTGAATAAGCTACCTTACATCACACGTGGGAATTAAAGCCACACATCAGCTGCCAAGCAGGTTACTCAGGTGAGAGCAATGTGATGACCTGTGTCCTTCATCACAAGGGTGGAGGTGATGAGCCGGAGTCACAGGCGGTTTGTCAGAGTGAAACAATGTGAGACAGACTCCCCCATTTGTACACAGAAAAGGGGCTAAGGGGCCAAGAAGGCTGGCAGCTTCCAGGAGCCAGAATGGGAAAGAAAATGGACTCTCCCACATAGATTCCATGAATACAGCCTTCTGGATACCTTGCAGTCCAGTAATATCTATTTCAGAAGTTTTACCTTCAGACTGTAGGATAATAACTTCTTGCTGCTTAATGCCCTGAAGTTCTGGGCTGCAGCGATGGCTTCACTGATAAAGGCCTTGCTACTTAAGCACTTGACCCAAGTTCGGATCCCCACCACCTAAGTAAAGTAGACAAGCACCATAGGACACAGGTGTAAATCCAGCACCGGGAGGCAGAGGGAAGAGGATTGGTGAGCACATTGCCCTCTGAGTCAGTCTACTCAAATCTCTGAGGGCGGGACTCAGGGAGAGATGCTGTCTCAGAAACAGAGGTAGCAACCCAGAAAGATATCTGATGATCACCTCCAGTTGACCTCTGACCTCTACAAAACATGCACAGGGTGCTACACAAACACAATTGTTTTTTTTTTAATTTATTGATTTGGCTTTTCTTTGTAGCTTTGGAGCCTGTCCTGGAACTAGCTCTTATAAACCAGGCTGGCCTCTCCACAGAGAGGCCCACCTTTACCTCCCGAGTGCTGGGATTAAAGGCATGCGCTGCCACGGCCTGATACAAACACACATTTTTTTTTTTTAAAAAAAAAAGCCTCTCTAAAGCTACACACATTGACTACAGTAACAGTAGGAAACCAATACAATGTGATGTGTTACTGATGTGCTGGGGCTTTAGAACCTTTTAAACCCCAACTGAGGTCCCTTTCCATCATTCTGCTGGGTGACTTGTTAGATTTTCTGAGTGTCAGCTTTTCTGTCTATAAAGAGAGGACTATTAATGTTCCTCAATGTTTTTTTTCTCGTGTGTGTAAATGAGATCATGTATGTAGACACAGCAAAGCTCCTTCGTGCCACAGTTCTGAACAAACACTGGCAGTTTCTGTCGTCACCACGATCCCCAGACTTCCAAAGTCTGTCGGCTGTCTAAAGCATACCTACGCCTCCTCATTTTAACAGGAAACAGAAGTCTGGGTGTGCTAGACAGTTAGCCCCCAAGTAAAACTTCCAGCAGTGTGGCTTAACATATGATTGAAACTCTAACCTCAGAGGCCTCCAG